ACACACACACACACACACACACACACACACACACACACACACGATGGCACTGAATAAGGAAGATGAAAGAAGAATCAATGTGTGTGAATTATGGCGCTGGAGAATAATATTGAAAGTACTACAGACTTCTAAGACTTCCTCTGTCTTGGAAGAAATATAGCCAGGATATTTCTTAGACGTGGGGATGGGGAGACTTGGGCTCATCTGCTTCGGACATATTAATAAGAGGGACCGGTTCTGGGCAGGACGTCATGCTTGGTGAAGTGGAGGGGCAGCAAAAGGAGGCATGTCCTCAACAAGACCCCGGCTGACGGCATCCACGCCCAGCTGGCGGTCATTCGTCCAGGATGGCGTATAGAGACCATGCATGTAACAGAACGGAGCAGTGCTGGGTCCTGCGTCAGCCTCACAATCGTGGGTGTTCAAGGCCATCACGGTGGCCATTGTGCCCATCCACTCCCTCAGGAGAGACTCCTTGCCTCTCTGACCCTCTACTTCCCCACATGAGGTGGCCTCCTCCAGTGACTTGCCCTCCAACAACAGATCCCTCTGATTGCGGGTCTCAAACGTGCAAGTCAGACAAAGCTCTGCTCTGTGTGATTCAAGGGGGTTTGGTGGCTACGTCGTTCACCAGCCTTCCTTCCTAGTCTGTCTTAGTCTGGATGCTCCACTGAAACCTGGCCTCCCTGGGGCCCCTGCAGGGATTGGACGCACCAGCAGCACAATTGCCAGCTTCCACACCCACGTCAGCTTCATACAACAAGCTGAAAGAGAAATGACCAGGTCAGCCACCCTCCTCTGCCTCAGTGCCACCCAGTTTGTCACCACAGAGGCAAGGCACTTTGTCTGACAAAGTGTGAGCCCCAGAGGCCTGGGTCTCCTTCGTCACGCACTGTCTGCCAAGGTGGCGAGGCTCAGCAACTCGCAAGTGAGGGGCGATTTCGGCCAAGTTGAAGGCCAGGAAGGCAAGAAAGGCTCACTTTCCGTTCCGAGGGTAAATAAAGCATTGTTCTCAGACGAAGAGTCGCTGTGACCTCTTGGGTTACCACATCAGAGCCAAGGTCAGTCCACGGTGGCTGGGCCCAGCTCTGGCGCAGGCGTCTGGACCTTTGCGCACCCTGCACCAAGTCCCCTTCGTGTGCTCGTGTCCTGAGAAGCAGGGACAGAACTCCAGGAAGAAACACACGCCCTGGGGAAGCCGACCGGCAAGACGATGATGCCCCTGCCTTCTCTCTGCACAGCAGGTTCTCCAGCTTGGCCCGGGGGCCGGTTTCCCGACTAACACCAAGCTGGTGGAGGACCAACGGCTGGGGCAGACAAGAGAAAGAATGTTCCTGCCAAGTGCAGCTTGGGATCGGGGGCCAAGCAGCTGTAAAAACACCTTAGTGGGTGGTGAGGGGCCAGCCCAGGTGCTGGCCTGTCCTTCTGAGGCAGACCGGTATGTAAGGCTGTCTGCACGAGAGCGACACTGCTCTGTGTCAGCTGCCCACGTGGGTTGGAAAGCGCCAAGTTCTGGCCTCCAAGTGCATGGGAACCTCCAGGCTCGGGTGGGAGCTGCCCCAAGGCCAGCACTGGCTGGAATCAGAGGGAAGAAAGGATTCCAGAGGCTGGAGACACACAGAAGGCAGAGGGGGGCTGGGCCAGTGGGAGTGGCCCCCAAAGCCAGCAGAAGTTATCTGCTTTAATGGGGTCTGGGACAGCATCTGAAGAGGGGGGTGAGACCCAGTCTGAGAACTCCAGGAAGGGGTGTGCACACAGATTCCAATTTTGGAACAAGCGGCCAGGGTGACCTTAAAGCACAACATTTGGGGTCCACAATGTTGAAGGAAAGAAGCAAACCTAAAACCAGACTCCCACAGCAGTTCTCTGCTATCACACAAGCTCACTAGTGTTCATGTACACACACACACACACACACACACACACACACACACACTAACCTGCTCATTGAGCTCACCTACATGGGGGGGAGGGGGGGGACAACAAAACATCCACAAGAAAACACACCACAATATACAGAGTTAACTCTAAGTGGGAGAGTGTAAGCAATTTTTCCCTTTGTCTCATGAGAGGGCACTTCCAAAACTTCGTGGAAAAACAGAATGGAAAGATAATGGAATGCTCCTGATGGCTTCCCACTGAGCTAGCTAAAATACCACAACCAACATGTACTGTTATTTCGACAAGTGGCAAGTAGGTGGGGCCAGAGAAGCAGGCCATGGAAAAAGGAATGGGCCGGGGGTTAAACTCAGAGAAAAAGACATGCAGGGCTGGTCCCTGTCTGGGGGTCAGACAGGCTCTGAGAGGCTCAGACCCTGGTGTACAGGGGCGCAATGGGACCAGTGAGTGCTCCCCGAAACCAAACATGGACTTGAAGTAAGGAAGAATTTTCCCACAGGGCTGAAGGGCTTTCTCGAGTCTTGGAGGATGCTGGGACAGACTGGGCCATATCTGATGGGGGACGGGGCGGGGGGAGCACCAGATGAAATTATTTCCCCTAAGAGTCTACAGTCCCAGCAGGCATCATGAATCCCAGCAGGCATCATCAATGACGACGGCGCTGGGCACTGGCCAGCTGCCTCTGTTCAAGATCCTGCTGCTGTGCTCTCCACTCTGGGCAAGCCCTGACTGTTAAGACAAAGCAGTACCCGGGCACTGACAAGGGTACAGAGGTGCTAAGGTGAAAGAGACAGAGAGCCCAACTACTTAAAGCCCGCACGCACATGCACACGCACGCGTGCACATACATACACACACACACACACACACACATACACACACGGGTTTGCAAGTCCTGCCTACACCCAGAGGAGGAAGCCCCCTCCCAGGTCCTCAGGTCAAATTCACCAGAGGCCAAAGGCCAAAGGTCACAATGGCTAAGAAAACATCCAGCAATTTGTTTAAACACACCGAGGATTGCCCTGAGAATAATATTTACATAAGAAATAGCAGTGACACTGCAAGTTAAGTTGGCTTATTTAAAAAGAGAGAAGGGGGGGCGGAGCACAGACCTTGCTGTGTGGAGAAGACTGACTGCTCTCCAAAATGGCCTTTCCCTTCAACATGGGCACCTTGAAGCCATCACGCATCGGTGCAAGCCGAGGCAGACACAGAGGGACAAGGGTGCATTGAGAAAACCCTCATTCCCCTCAAATCCAGAATCTGGCTTTCCAGTCAGGTGAAGTGACCCGCCCTGCTTAGGCCATTGCCCTCGGGTGTCCCCTTGAGCCTTGGAAGTCCTGACTCCTAAAAGGCACCTTTGGGACAAACAATGGCCCAGATCCTCTTGGGGAAAATTCATTCAGTCTCCACGAAGCAATCTCTGAGGGTCAGAGTAGCAGCCGAGCATGTTTCCAGTACATCAGTAACACGGTTCCCAGGGCTTCCAGACAGACGGATATGAAAACCCTTCCCGAGCCCAGAGCTTCCTCCCACAGCAAGGCCAGGAAGCCCTGGGAAGAGAGCTTCACAGTTCTCCTCTAGCTGGACTCTCTGGTCACCTCAACTCGCAACTCCTGGATGCAATCAACCTCAATCCATCTTTACTATGGGCTGAATATGATTTTTTTCAGTCTCACAGTCTGAGCCCACTTCTAGGCAGTATCTAGACGTGAAAAAAACATAGTGTGTATGAGTGCCCACCAGGGACAGCGGGCACGGGGGCTCCCGCTGAGGGCACTGGGCTTCAGTTTGGGTTGATTGGCAACAGACGGGGTGATGGTTACACACCTCGGTGGGTGTGGTCATAATGCCCCCGAGCTGTACATTCAAACAAGGTGAATGTGGAGATTTTGAAGTTACATAGATTTAAACATAGATAGATAGATAGATAGATAGATAGATAGATAGATAGATAGATAGATAGATAGATAGATAGATAGATAGATAGATAGACAGACAGACAGACAGATAGAGATAGAGATAGATAGCCAGATGTATATGTATTATGTACTTTTTTCCATTCCTTTTTCCTTGGGGAAAATCTAAGCTGTGTCTAGGAGTCTGCCCTGTGATGGGCCCACCTTCCTGTCCTGTCAGGGTCACTAACAACTGACCACAGCCAGAAGACCATTTCACCGCTCTCCTTTGGGTGGGTGGGTAGGGGATCCCTTTGTTTCCAGGCACCCACAGTAATAAACTGGCTCGGTCTAAGTCTCAGAGACACGCTGGGGCGGGAGTATGAAGAGTGCGTGCACAAGCAGGGCCTTGGCTGCCAGCCCTGCAGACTCACCGCTCCACGGGGTCCCTGAGCATGACGACCAGCTTGGTGTGGGGCTGGAGGGCGTGGATGAAGTCCTGGATCAGGAAGGGCGGCTCGCCGTCTGTGCTGTTCTCGTAGAAGAAGGTCCACGCGTTGTTATCCCACATGGTGGACGCGCTGGCCTCCCCTGGAGATGGAAGCATTACACGTGAGTGACCGTGCAGCACGGGGCCCACCGAGGGCCCAGGACAGAGTGTCCTGTAGGGTACTGTGGCCCCGAGTCCGTCATTCAACCCTGACAGATGGGACTCCACAGAGGAGAGTGGTGCCCCCCGCCCCACCACCCCCCGGCCCCACCCCATCTGGAAATCAAGGCCCTCTCCATATACCAATGTTCCTGGTCCCCACTCCCCCTCTTGGCTGTGCACGACAACTGTCCCAGCATCAGGCTTCTGTTGCACAAATTCACTTTGGGGGCGGGGCACGCAGCTTTGGGGGCAGCCATTCTGCGGGCCCACCAAGAACAGAGAGCAGTGCATGGCTTCTTCAGAACGGTCAGGGCTGAAAGGCAGGGAAGTGGCCTTCTTTAGGGACCGGGACTTTCCTTGAAACCACAATAGGCAGACAGTCAGTGAGTCACAGGCCCCGTGAGAGCGGCAGAGAGGGAAGGACCCAAGGTTCACGGAGACCCCACCTCAGAATCTGAGGTCACATTTTGCTAACCCAGTGTCTCCCAGAACAGGCAACACCGCCCCCCCTGGGAGGTGGGCTGGAATGATCCAGGGGGTGCTTTAAAAGCAGACACCTCCACCGGATTAGGAGCTAAGGGGGTGTAGTGGCGAACTCAACGGCCTGCTAACTGCCAGCTCAGCAGTTGGAGACCACCATCCACTTTCTGCTCCCGGAGAGGGGCAGTCTCTGAAACCCACCGGGCAATTCTCCTCTGCTATAGGGCCACGATGAGGTAGGCCGGACTTGATGGCAGTGAGTTTGTGTCCTGGCTTAGGGGCGATGGTACAAGTGTTTTAAATTGCCGGGGTGTAAGTCTTTTTCTTCTCCCCCTGAAAAAGGGTGCTGTAGGCCAGATAAGTTTGGCAACCTATGGCCTAACCCATCCGCCCACAGCCAACTACTTTATCGATCACCCAACTATCAGATTTCATAACTGCTTATCACCTCACACATCACCTACATTATCACCTGCCCCATCACCTGCCTATAACCCATCACCTGCCCCACACAACCACCTACTTGTCTATTATCCACCTATCACCCTACATGGGCTCCTATCCTATCATCCTGCATGCAGCTGGCACTTCACCAGTGCTGACTGGGAAGACAGGGACACAGTTCTCCCTGAAAAACACACTGCCATCGAGTTGATGCTGATGCAAAGCAACCCTTTAGGACAGGGTAAAACTGCTCCCATGAGTCTCAGTGGTTGTCACTGTTCACAGGAGTAGAAAGCCTCGTCTTTCTCAAGAAGAGCAGCTGGTGGTTTTGAGCTGCTGACCTTGTGGGTAACGCATAACCACTATACCACCAGGGTTCCTGACACAGTGTGAGCCCCTGTTTTATGATGCTCTTAGGACTGAGGGGTGAAAACTTTAACCACGCCATCGAGGCTGGGGGAGAAAGGTCAAGACAAAGACATTCTCAACAGTGCCAAACTTTCCCAGACGACTGCACCCGCTCCCTCGTTCATTTTCAGGGCAGCCACCTGAGATTTAAGACAAAAAGCAAACCAATCCATCAATTACATGCTGCTTCCCTGACATCTTACATGGGACAATGTGACATCGCGAAGCCCCTTATTCAGGGGAAATGGAGCCAGAAGACTACGTGTCTTTGATCAGTGGCAGGGCCATGGAAATACTGCAGGAAGCTGGCAAGTCCTAGTTATCCTGCTGGATGCAATTGCACCCAGGTGAGCTTCTGCTCCAGTCTTTTTGAGAGAAAGGCTCTGGGGTACAGAAAAGACAGTCAATCAGAAGTCCTTTGAGCGTTCCATTCACAGTGAATACAGAACTACAAAAGGAAAGTGTCTAAATGTGAATTGCATACCACCTGTCAAATCTCAAAAAAGAACTGATTCTACAACCACAGAAGTACTTTTCATCCACCTGTCCATTCAGCCTTCCACCCCTCCATCCACCTACCCAGCCATTCATCCAGCCATCCAGCCACCCACCCGCCCATCTATCTCTTCATCCGTTTCTCACTCACCAACCCGTCCATCTACTGCCATCACCCATCCACCCATCCATCCGTCCACCCATCTATCTATTTTCCCATCTATCCATAAACCCACCTAGGTAATTCTTAGGTGTTATCTGATATGTGTCAGGCACTGGGCTCAACATTGAGAATATACGAGTGAAACAAGACGGACGTGGACCTTCCCTCCCTGCACCGGACCATCAAGAGGAAGACAGACCACACAAGTATTTCCAACACCACTAGAGGGTGCTGTCACAGGGCAGGGTGCCACGGGAGTAGACTCAGGAGCCTCTCAATATGCCTGGAGCGCCAGCCCCGTAGAGTCTGGCATTGGAGCCAACCTCCTGTGTGGCTCCAGCTGTTCGCGCAGACCATTGAGGGAAGTCCCTCCTGACTCGGGCCCACGCTGATGTAGACTGAGGAAGTGGGAACCCCACTGGATCACACTGTCAGGGCAAGGAGGGGTGTGGGACCGACCTGGGCCAATGGTCCATCCTACAGATGAGCACCCTGAGCTAGCTCACAAATGCCAGGACTGCTCTGCCACAGTGCAGTCCTGCCTGGTGGCACAGGTGGCGGGGTAGAGACCAGCTCTCCGTGCAGCCTATCCAGGGTGAGGCCACCACACATCATCAAACTCTGTGCTCCCCACTCCCCACTCTTAACTCCTAGCAGCCCACCAGAATGGAGTAGCACCACAGCAACAACAGGGTGTTAAGGCTGTGAGTCTGTGAGCGCAGACTGCCTCATTTTGCTGTCATGCGCAGGCTGCTAGGTTCAAACTGCTGACCTATCAGTTAGCCCCGTAATACTGAAACCCACTGCACCACTCAGGAACCTTAGCATCCGGTCTGATCAACTCAACTCACTGCCGTCGAGTCGATCGGACTCCCCATGGGGTTGGTAAAGGTAAATGTAGTGATCTTGCTCTTTCCTTGACTCTTTAATCTGGTGGTGGGCCTGGTGTGATGGATTTGACCTCCACTCCCATGACCCCCTGTGGCGGAGCAGAACTGCCCCATAAGGCTTCCTGGGCTTTCATCTCGATGAGAGAAGCACTGGTGGCACAGTGGTTAAAGCACTTGGGTGCTCAGTAGCAGGTCCATGTGATGAACCCACCAGCCGAACTGCAGAAGCAGGTGGTGGCCCTCCGTTCCGGTAGAGACCACAGGCTATGAAAGCTTTGCGGCAGATGGAGTGTGTCCCATACTGTTGCTATAAGTCAGGACTGGCTGGGGGGTGCTGGGAATCGAATCTTTTCAAAAGCAAATCACCAGATCGTTCTCCATCAGAGTCCCTGGGTGGGTCCAAACTGTCAACCTGCCCGTTAGTAGCTGAAAACAAACCAAGGCTTCCTCTTGTCATGTCTTATCTTGTCTCCATTTGGAGGTCCTCTGGCAAACCTCACCACCACCGAGTCGATTCTCACTGACACTGGCTGACCCGACCAAGCAGAGGGCTGCGGCCCCTGCGGGTTGCGCAGACCCTCAATCTTCACGGGGGCAGGCAGTCTCCTCCCCCTAGGAGGCGAGTTTCAGCTTTGTCATAAAAACATGCCATTGTCCCAGAGGCTCAGAGGGAAGAGACCACAGTCAAATACTAATTAAACTTAGGGCCGGTGGTGTTTGGACCCCCAGCTGCAGGAAACTGCGATGAGTCAGTCCATACTGGGGGCAGAGGCATGACATCATCTGGTGCCTGAATTCATCAGTCTGGACTTAGGAATGCAGGCCTGCCCCGAACTCATTCACTTGGGAGTTCTGAACCCTGGCTCTCCCAACAACTCATAGTCATCATGACAATGCTGACTCCTAAGGCCCCTATAAGACAGACCTGCCCTTAGGGGGCTCCGAGGCTCTGAATCTTCCCAGGAGCAGAAAGTCTCATCTTCCTCCCTCAGGGCGGCTGGTGGGTTCCAACTGCTGACCATGTGGTTACTAACCCAATGTGCAACCCACTACACCACTGGGCCTTCTGATTAGGCTCGAGGACAATTAAAAAGGAATGAGTCACTTTCTCAGGTGACCAATTTAAGCAGAATGATTTTATTGACCTCATTAAGAAAGAAATAAGTGAAATCAACATCTTCTTTTAAGCCGAATCCAATAAAAGAATACACACACACACACACACACACACACACACACACACACGCATTTTAACGTGACACTGCTATAATTTTAAAAACTTCGTAGAAACCTAACAACCTCGTTTTGAATGTCTAATACATTAAGTTGGCAAAGGCGCGGCTTTTTAAAATGGCAAGTAGTCACAGATGATGTTTTGGGACTGGGTCTTCCCAAAGCTCCCTCGGGTTGCAACCACCAGGATTGACAAAAGCCCCAGGCATCAAGCTGCTGGCTAACCAGTTTGTCGCATGTATGATCCTCCATCCGGGCTCACTCAGCTTCCTAGATCGTGAAAAGTCAAGTGTTCATTGCTCAATTTAAACAAAAAGGGGAAAGCCTGGCAACTTGAAAAAAACAGACAAAAAACAACACAAAAGAGGGGAAAAAAACACCTTAGCAGCGGTGCTAGGATCTCCAGGCAATTAGGAAAGCTAAGCATTTCTGTTTGGGGCAAGTTGTCCTAACGACTGACTATTTGGGGCAGGGATTACATGGGCAGCCAGTTGGGGCCCTAGACACTGGACAGATGCTGTCTGTAAGCAGTTAAGCCAATGTTCTGCAGGTGAAACAGAGCCAGGGTGTGCCTGGCCCTGGAGTGGGGGCCCTGAGAAGGCTGCCCCACCCTGACAGGAGCTCCTCAGGACACATACCAATGATGATCTTGTTCATCTTGCTCTGCTCCTTCACAACGCTGGCCTGCAGCCCCTGGTGAATCTGGTGTGCGGCCAGGTCAAAGAGGTCCAGGTAATCTTCCACCGGGTAGCGGTCCCGAAGCCCGTCTCTCAGACGGACGATTCCTAGGAAAACCAATAGGCTGGAATGAGTGGCATTTGAAGTGTCCCCATGCAGGGCGTGGCCTCCTGGAGTGACAAGAGGTCGGGAAGTCCCAAAGGCCCGGACACAACAGAGAAAGGTCAGCTGGGGCATGGCATCTGAAAACCAACTACTTAATTTTAATCAATAAAGGTTCTAAGTGGAGGATGGCAATACCATGAAACTGGGTTGGTGCTGTCTTATATCAATTCTGACTCCCGGCAACCGCATGTGTTAAGCGTGAGACTGCCATGTGTGGCTTTCTCGGCTATAATCTCCACCCCCTAACCCCACCCGCTCCCCTTTGCTGTCATCTCCACAGACACAGACCACCAGGCCTGTCTTCCCTGGAGCTGCAGGATGGCTTTGGACCAACAACCGTTTGGGGACCAGTGACCAAAGGGCACAAACCCACAGTGGCTGAGTTGATTCAGACGCACAGGGACCCCATGGGGCAACGGAGAACGGCTCCCTCGGGTTGCTGAGGTGATAAATCTTTCAGCTGGTGGATTCCACCTGTAGTTTGAAGGGTGAGACACCTACTCAAGAATTACGGGAGGGCCTGGCAAACCAGAACCCGTGCCAGGTAGAAATCCGAGAAGGAAAGTCAATTATGCCCCCCCAGAATAGTGGAGAGGGAAGTGCTAAGACTGCACCCTGTCAAAGAAGGTTTAACAGGACCCAGAAAGCAAGAGCGAATGGCTGAGTTCTCTTTTGCCGACATTTCATTGTATATACCAGAGAGGTCTGGGGAGTTGAGGCTCATCAAGAAGTGCACTAAGTGAAGACCCTCCAATGGCCAAGCGGAAGTGTCATCCAAGATATTCAGTATGGACAAGGACAAGGGGCAGAAGATGGCTGACCAGAAGGGTCCCTTCTTCATCAGGGCCCCACCTGCATCTTCCTGCAGGTCTATTGGACAGCTGCCCATGTGTCCGAACAGTAAGGGGACTAGGCCATTTCCTGGGTGATTATTGGGGTGAATTCGCCAGCCGTCTGCCTGGTCCGAGCCAAAGTGTCCATCTGGCCTTAAAAATGGGTCCGTTTTACTCTCAAGCTTACTCAAAGCGCACCAGAGCCAGCCAAGGTGGAGGGAAAACGGAGCATGCCCATGACTCAGGGTCGGACAGAGGTGACTAGAGAGACTAGATTCAGAGGCACGCCCTGTTCCTCTCCTCCCTGGTTTGCATTAAGGAAAAACAGAAAACCTTCCAGGGGAGAGTCTTCTACAGCAGGAGTGAGATCAAGCGCTTCTGGCAAAGGCAACTCAGCCGACAGTTTCTTCTGAGCCACAAAAGAAACCTTGCCATGGCACTTCTCCCCACAGTGGACATCAAACGGATCTCAGCCACCGGGAGACACACGAGGAGCTGGTCTACACTGTGGTTCTATTAAGGAGCTTTTACGTTGCCTTTCTGGACCACCTGAGACCGTCCAATGGGGAACGCCCTCGGGGCAGCTCGCCTCTGGCTCAAATCGGTCATTGGTCATCTGTTCTGGGTGACCAATCATCTCCTGGCAGAAGAGAAAGGTCAAGGAGAGGAAACAATGATCCCAGATGCCTGGCGACGAGACAGGGGTGAGGCAGAACCAGGTTGCAGGGAGGGGGCTCTGGGGCCCAGGGTCCTCCCAAATGACCTCCCTTGGACTTGGACTTCTACCTTGTGGGGCAGGCTGGTGAAGCCATCCACACGACCGCCCCTTGCACTAAGAAGCAGGGAGCTGAAAGACTGCCCCACAGAGCTGCCCTTCTAGCCTGTCTCTCCCAGGGGGGCGGCCTCTGAAAGGGCACCCTGCCCTGCAGGATGATGTCGTGTCTTGTCCTAGGGAATGGGCAGGAAGGGCAGCGGTTATTGTGCCCTGCCTCTGCCCTGCGCACAGTGGGCACCTACTGAATGCTTGCTGGTGGTCGGGAGTAGGGGCTCAGCCTCTGCTGGATCTTTACCTGTGGGACCTTTACCTTTACCAACTACCTGTGGGGCCTTGACAACTTTCCCAGGGGAACCATGACATATCTCAGCCTCTTGGGATGCTTTCTCATCCTGTCTGCCTGACCTTTACAGAACAGTGGCCTCAGACGGAGCACAGTGGCTGGCAACCTGCTGCTCTCCCACCCACCGACCTCCAAACGTCCATTGTAAGAGTAGGTTGACAGGAAGCTTCGTGAAGCATGCGATTCCCCCACTTCGTTCATCTGTTGAGACTCACTTCCGCCGGAAACAGCCCACACTTCCGCCGGAAGTGGCCATCACTTACCAAACCGCTTCCGGGTCCACCAGTGCGGCTCCTTGATGGCGGAAAACTTGACTTCCGGGTGCAGCCGCAGGCGGTCGTAGAGGTCGGTGGTGCCGCACTTGGGCTGCCCGATGATGTAGAAATGGGGCAGGCATCGCAGGCGGAAGTGCTTGCCGTGGGCGTGCGACAGGTGGCCCCAAAAGGCCTTGCGCAGGGCATCGAAGGTAGAGCGGAACCTTCTGGAGTAGAGCACGTAGGAGTTGGTCAGGTATGGGTCGGTGGTGTTTCTGCCTGAGAACTCCTCGTACCAGCAGGGGCTCTTACTGTTCGGGAGAAACTTACTGGGGATGACGGAGAACATCTGCACGAAATGGAGAAGAGCGGGCGAGGCGAAAGAAATCCGAAAATTAGTGACCGCGTTCTAACCACAATGGGAACCTGCCCTGATGTTTATGACCGTGCTCAAAGCCAGAGCATCGTTTGATCTGATGCTAGATAAAGCTAAATTAACCAGCGACTCTTCCCTCTCCCCCAAATGAAAATAAATCTTGGGAGAGAAGGAAGATAAAAAAGTTTAATCAAAATCCGTTTGACCGTGGACGTGGAAAAGGTGCGAGGACGGCTGTACAACTTGAAGGCTGTAAACCGTGTTGCCTGGATGTACATAGAGGGATTGTTGAGATGGCTTGTGTATTTGTTATGTCTACTTCCCATTCCACTGTGACTTATCTTACACACACACAGAGAGAGACAGAGAGAACAGTCTAATTAAATTAAACAGCTGGAATCTTTTTACTTGCTGGATATTTAAATGGCCATTAGAGGCAAAAATACTAATTAGGGCAAAACAGAAAGAGGAAATCAAATGGAACCCAATTTTAAAACTCCAAATGACAATGATCGGCAAAAGCACCATTAAGCGCCATGGCCATCCTTCAAGGGAGCAGTTCTGGAATGCAGTTATGAGCAGGCAGCCCTTGAACATGCCTAGCTGTGCCAGGCTGGCTAGCCAGCCTGCCTCCGTTTGGGTACCCCATAACAGAAGAGCGCTCTCCCCATGCCCTCTGGTTAGTAAGGGGGTCGGAGTATCCTTGTTGCACTCTAAATGTTCTCAGAGGAGGCGCCCATGCTTTACAAATGCCCGGCACACGCCTACTCACATGCAACTCCTGCTTCTTGAGGTCTTCCAGACGGGGGCGCTGTCTGCTGGTGAAGGCGATCCTGGCTGTGATGCTGTTGATAATTAACTGGATGCTTGGGTAATCCTTCACGTAGGAGAGATTATTGACTGAGGGCTGATGGTGGTGCTCTTTCGGGTCACCCGCGCCTTCGCCGTCCATTATGCCGGGGCTGCTGGGGAAGCCCTCATAATGGAAAGGGGATGGGATCAGGAGCTCCTGGCGGACTCCCGAGAGGATGTAGGAGGCCATCACCAAGGTCATAATAACCAGCACGAACACCAGGCTACATCGCTTCCCCTTCTTGAAGCGCAGAAACCCGCCCCAGCTCTCATTCCCTTCCGTCCTCACTTCAAGAACAGCAAGCAAGTTCATCTGCTTACTGTCCACTCGGAATAGAATCTTGTTTTCTCCTTTGCACGCGGGGCACGCCTGGTGGCTGGGATGGGGGCCTCCTTGGCAGCCAAGTCGCTGTGTGCGTGCCTCGTCAGGTAACAACTGTATGCAGCAATTGATGCAGTGCCTCATGTTAATGCCCTCTGACTGATGGCTTAGTGGGCCATGGGCGAGGCCCCCAGCAAGTCCAGATGCCTCGCCAAGGATGCGGGGAAGTGATGGACGTCTTGGGATAATTACACACGATGCTCAGAAGGCACATGTACCCCAAACAAAGGAGGAAATAAGCAGAAGCCAACGCCCTTCAGCTCTGAGAGACCACACAAAGATGGGCCAATGGTCAGGTCCATGCAAAGTCCCTGGACTGGGAGGGAAAGTCGCTCAGTCGGGAGGACTGCCTGCCCGTCAGGTTTTTCCCATGGCACAAAGGAATGTGGAGGAAGTATCACTGGAGGGCAGGGCAAGCCAGCAGCGGTTGGAAGCTCTCATTGTTGTCCCATGGACCAATGGGTTGACTTCCACCTAGGGAGCTGCCCAGACAGACTCCTTCTTTTACATCTCTGGAGCCTTTGGAATGCTTCCTCTTTGTTGGGATCAAAAAGGTTCAAATCTCAGATGATCTACAGAGAGAGAGAGAGACGTTTTAGTACAACAGCAATTACCCGAGGGCCATCTTCCAAGTGGTGGCAATGCATAAGGAGAAGGCGAGAGGTTTCGGGTCCTGAGCCAAACACCAGCACCCCGAGAGATACCTCTGCTTTGACACCATTGCACTTTTAATGCCAACGCCCCCTAACAACGCTGCCAGGCAGTGCACACTGTGCAGAGCTCGGCTGCTAAGTGAAAGCTTGGTGGCTGGAAGTCACCCAGAGGCACCTTGGAAGAAAGGTCTGACTATCCGCTTCCAAAGACTCGCAGCCACGACCAACATACAGATGGAGGGCAGTGTGATGCTGCAGGACTTGGGGCATCGGCTCCACCGCAACTGGCCCAGTGTCTTTCCCCACTGGCACCGCTGGCCTTTTTCCATTTATGGCATCAGATCCCTGCCCCAGGAGTATGCAATCCCTCTCAGCTCCATACAGGAGATTAATTTGAGGGGTGAAGTGAATGACCAGCACGTTTCAATCAACGAGAAATCCGATGGGTAACAAGGAGGAGGCTGGACAGAAGCCTGCAGAGAAAGGGCTTTTCTCCCTCCCGACAGCGCCCATGATCTTACACCCACAGCGAACCTTTGTGATCAGTTTCAGAAGGAAGCGTTAATGAAACCCGAACAATCATGTGAAACACCATTTGACTTGAAGTTATGAAGCAATTAAATCCAATATGGAAGCCTCCTCTGAGTAACATAACGTTCCAACCCCGGAAATCATTTTTCATTTTCCTCACCCTGGGCAAGACACGATTCTTAAAGCTCCATGAAAAGGAGCCTGTGGTTATCCCAGAGACGCCTTATCTGTGGGGAGGGGGAAATGCTGTAAAAAGAGCAATCGATGAGTGCAAAGGAGACCTACTTAGTTCCTAAGAGCAGCAGACCACCACTAGACTTGCTGTGTGACATTGGGCAAGGCTCATAACCTCTCTGAGCTGTTTCCTCACCCCCAAAGCTAGAGGAAATGCATGTACAGAGTTTGCATCATCCCTGACTCGCATCAAGCACCACAAAAATGGCAGTGACATTAACTGTAATAGCATCGTTAACTTTTACCACTGTTCTAATTTTTACTGTTGGTGAGTGCCAAGGACATTTGGAGTTGAGTCAAAGAGATGGGAGATCCAACATATTATTTTCCTTCATTGCTTAAAAATTACCTTAAGTAGGCAGACCACTACACACACACACACACAGGCACACACCCTCTCATATAACCCTTATCAGAGTGATTTTCTTGGCCTTATACAAAAGCCTCCTCCTTTTGGCTAAAGGACTGGGCCCAAACTGAACGCCCTAGCAGAAAGCTTCACTCCCTTTGAAGAGAAAAACTCACGTTTCTCAAACTAAGAATGAGCTATAGAATGCTTCCCCAAATGGCTTCCACACAAAGCATTCTGCTTGTGGTCAATCCAGTTCTGCACTTGGAAACCAGAAACCCCACAGGCTTCCTTCCAAACAAGACTTTTCTGGGCCTTTAATAGACTAAGGAGCCCAGGTGGCATGGTGACTGAGCCCTCAGCTGCATCAGTGGTTTGAACCCAGTCATTGCTCTGAGGGAGGCAGACCCTCAATCTTCTCCAATAAAGATGACAGTGTGGGGACAGCTCTACCCATGCTGAAGGGTCGCTGTCACAGTGGGGAGTCTTCCTAGGCTAACAGAGCCCGATCGCGGTACAAACCAGTCAACTTTCCCAACTGTCAATTGAAAGGTCAGCAGTTGAAATTCACTCAGAGGCGCATTACAGGGAAGACCTGGTGATTGACAAAGGGACCTCCAAGAAGCTCATGGGACAAACCCATTCTCTGTTCATTCCATTTCTCCAGGACCTCGCCTTTCCACACACTCCAGCCATTGAAAGTGCTGTGGAATCCAGCTTGTGGACACTCGATCGGGGGTCACCATGAGCTGGAATCGGCTGGCTCGAGGACAACTGGTTTGCTTTCTAAATTAGCTAATGGGCCCGAATCCATGAGATCAGAATACAATACACAGCATTTTAAAGCACAACCAGCCAGGAAATTCTCAAGGAATCCGTGTGAGAAGGCAGGGGCGACCCGGTGGTTAGCAAGCAGATGCTAACCAAGTGTTTGGCAGTTAGAGCCCACGAGCTGATCTGTGGGAGAAGGAATGAGGCTGTCTGCTTCCATAAAGATTCACAATCTCAGAAATCCTGTGGGTTGGTCCATTCCACCCTATAGGGTATGAGGTGGAACTGACTGGATGGCAGTGTGTGTGTGTGTGTGTGTGTGTGTGTGTGTGTGTGTGTGTTTTCTAAAGGCTGAGCTATACAGGTAAGGTAGAAGAGTTGGGCAGTTTGGAGAAGAGCAGAGGAGTAGAGGAGTGTGGGAAGACAGTTCTAGAAAGGGCAAACATCTCAGGCTCCAGGCCTCATGGTGCCCCCTCCCGCTCTCACCATCATCCCTTAGGGCAGCTGCAGGGACAAGTCAGGGCCCTCCGGGTCAAACTTCTGCTTCCAACTTGCTCAATCACCCCTGACCCATGACGTGGTACAAACAGTTCTTCCAAACTAAAGACACAAAAGGGCAAGCCCCCCTGCTTGGAAACTCCATCATGAATGCCAAGAAAACATTTTTCACCAGTCAGAGACAAGGCCACGCTGAGGTTAAAAATGAGACTCCAGCCAGGATCTCAGTGGGAAGCGAGTTTGCACCCTCATCCTGCTGGCTGCAAAGGCCTAATTAGATTTTTAAAAGAAAACACGAGACTTTGAAGCCACAGGACCAAAGTATACATGATGTGGACCCAACAGGCTAGGCTAAGCAGTCCTCGCAGGAGCAAAGGTGCCTGGTGCACAGAGAGCATGCGAGTAAGCAAGCCTGGGAAATCAGGGACACTGACAGAATCAGCCAGGCGTCGGGACAGAATTGCAGTGCGTCAGGAGTCAGGTGTGGGAAACCGGTCCAGCAGAGCTCCCTCACAAACGTGAAACGGGGAGCAGAGCACTGGAGAGGTGATTCAAGATGCCAGTGTTGTAGACATATGCTCAGATACAGCCTTTTCTCATCTTTATATCCATCTAGTCAACGTACAAGTTTTTGAAGGCCGATGGGAGGCCAGGTATTGTGTATGGAGGTGGTGGCATGAAGAGTGGTTCTGAAGGCTCCTGGGGGTGGGAGTGTAAAGGTGGGGCCCAGGTGTGCGTGGGGGGGAGGAGCCTGAAGGGTGGGTTCAGGTATGTGTTGGGGAGTGAGGGGTGGGTTTAGGCAAGAGTTGCAAGGGAACCTGAAGAGAGGGTCTGGGTGTGCAGGGCCTGGAGGGTATGTCCTGGTGTGAGAGGGTGCAGGTTTGTGTAGGTGAGAAGCCTGAAGGTGTGTCCAGGTGTGCATAGGAAGGGGCCAAAAGTCAGGTCCAGGTGTGTATAGGTCCAAGTGTAGGAAGGGAGGAGAGGGTCTGAAGGTGGGTCCAGCTATGTGTAGGTGGGAGGCCTAAAGGTGGGTCCAGGTGTGTGTTGAGACAGAGGCTGAACAGAGGGTCCAGGTGTACAGGGTCTGTAGGGTGAGTCCAGGTGTGTGTAGGTCCAGGAAGGGGGCGGAGGACAGGCAGCCTTGAAGGGAGGGTCCGAGGGTGAGGACATGACCGTGAGAAGAGGGGGAGGGGAACAACACTCAGAGGACAAGCGATCACCTCATGCTTTCAAACACCGCACAACCACAGGGCCGCTATGGAGGATGAAGGCGCATCACCCGGAGCTGATGGCAAGGTGGTGCATAGCTAAGGAAGTGGTGGGGGTGGGGGTGGGGTTCCAGGCTTGCAAGTAAACCCTCCTTGGAGTGCAGTGCTCGGAGAGGTGGGAGGTGCAGGTGGCCCCAGGAAGAGCATCCTGTTCCCAGCCTGGAACATCTCTTCCACCAGGGATGGGCGGGGGGTGAGATGGGGCGGGGTGGGGCGGAACTGGGGCCCGCTGGGGATGGAGATAGAGAGAGGGCTGTGGGCTGCAAGGAAACAGTCAAGAAACAGAAACTCCAGCTCAGACCCCACTCAGGGCTCTGAAGAAGGCAAAGCAGGACAGGATGACAACATAACAGAGGCCCTACCCAGGCGTCCATACCGCTCCAGCCCTGGATGCAGAGCCCCGCCCCTGGCCTCTGCCCACTACAAGCCAATGAGGGGGAGGGATTTGTCCAAGTACCAAAGGTAGGCACGCTGGACATTCTTTCAATAAGACCTTTTCACATATGCAGTGAGTCCAATGGCATGCCCCCAAACATCACGTGGGCTAGAACTCATGAATGGGACCTTTCTGAAGAGCGGCTGTCCGCATGGTTCCCCTGCTAAGACGAGGTCGGCTGGGCAGGGGTGGGCCTGCAGATGGAGATGCTCAGAGGGAGAAGGTGGGCACCCAAATAGAGGGGCTCACACGGGAGCCACTGTCTCCGGGCCGAGGAAGTGAGCAGTTGGCAGCAGCTGGGCGAGGCGTGGAGGGGGTGCTTTCCTGGAATGCCAGCCCCAGCCCTGCCCCCACACCTTGTTGGGACCTTTCTGTTACTTCACCCTCCACTGATGCCATTTGGTGCTGCAGCCCAGGAAACGCTCGTACAGTGAAATTACGAAATAGCACACCCCAAGAGTGAGAAAGCAGGTGGCTGTGAGCGCAGCGGAGCCCTGGAGCACTGCTTTCGCACTGGACCGCCGACCACAGCCTCAGCACCACCAGTCGTTCCGAGAAAGAGGAGGCTTTGGACTCTCATGAAGAGTTAGAGTCTCAAACCCACAGGGGCAGTGCTAGACTGTCCTACAGGGTCGCTATGAGTCAGCTTCGACTCAAGGGCAATGAGTTTGATTGGTTTGGCTGTGACTGTACCGAGGGGCAGGGGACAGCTACCATGCTTCCCACCTGCCCTTTTCCACCCTCGCAGACTCTCCCAGGGACTGGCCTCCAAAGACCTCTTCAAGGGGTCCTTCCTGGGAAACAGAAGTCCCGTGTGTGCCTC